CACTGGTTCACCTCCCAAATGGCTACAACAACCCAGGCTGGGCCAGGCTAAAACCAGGAACCAGGAACTCAATCCAGAACTTCCGTGTGGGAAGCAGGAACCCAAGCACTTGTGTCATATGCTGCTGCTTTCCCAGGTGCATTAGCAGGGCGCTGGATGGGAAGTGGAGCAGCTGGTTCTGTTAACCTGCCATGCCACAGTGCTGCCCTGCACCTCCCAATTCAGATGTTTTTCACTGTGGCATACTCCCCTCTCCTTTAAGAATAAATAACTTTCAGTGCAAGGCCCAGTGCTGTATGCTAGTAATAGAATCTAAATGGATAATAGGTGTTCATTTTTAAGAAAAGCAAAAAAGTAAATATATAAAGTGTAAAACTGTGATAAAACGAAAATGAATCTTGATGTGAATGGAAGGGGAGAGGGAGTGGGAAAGGGGAGGGTTGCGGGTGGGAGGGACATTATGGGGGGGAAGCCATTGTAGTCCATAAGCTGTACTTTGGAAATTTATATTCATTAAATAAAAGTTTTAAAAAAAACCACTTTGTCTTGTACAAGTTCTACAAAGCTCCAGGTGTATAGGCATGAAAACGATTCAAGTGAAAAATTTGTTCTTTCAATAAAGATATTTTTAGCCAGCGCCATGGCTCAACAGGCTAATCCTCTGCCTTGCGGCGCCAGCACACCAGGTTCTAGTCCCAGTCGGGGCGCCGGATTCTGTCCCGGTTGCCCCTCTTCCAGGCCAGCTCTCTGCTGTGGCCCGGGAGTGCAGTGGAGGATGGCCCAAGTGCTTGGGCCCTGCACCCCATGGGAGACCAGGAGAAGCACCTGGCTCCTGCCTTCAGATCAGTGCGGTGCGCCAGCCGTGGCGGCCATTGGAGGGTGAACCAATGGCAAAGGAAGACCTTTCTCTCTGTCTCTCTCTCTCTCTCTCACTGTCCACTCTGTCAAAAAAAAGAAAGAAAGAAAAAAATAAAGATATTTTTAAGTTCTGCTCTGTCCCAGCAATGCACTAAACAGTGTGATTCAAAAAGAAGTCATAGTCCCAAGCTGCAAGGACATGGTAATCTAGTGGGAAAGGCAGACACATAAACACACAGTTCTCGTATGATCTGGCACCTGTGGATTGGATATATCCATGGCTACTGGCAGAGAAGATTTCCTGGAGGAGGAGGTGGTAGATGAGTAGTTGATAGAGGAAAGAACAGTGTGGGCTGAGAGCACAGCATAAGCAAAGGGCCAGGGGTGAGAAACAGCGTGGTGTTTGTGATGGGGAGGCCAGCTCCCAGTGAGCTGCACCTGTCCTGTTAAGCAAATGAGATGTTATTGTGTGAGTAATGCTGGTGACACCCATGGAGCGGGGCCTTGGAAGGGTTCTGTGCAGAGAGGGCTTGATCAGATTTGCAAGTCTGGACACAGAAGATGGATTTGAGAGGGATCAGGGTTGTGTCCAAGAGAACAAGTCATTACAGTATACCAGGTGGGAGATGCAGGGGGCTGGGACTAGGTGAGGGCGATCAGAGTTGGATGAAGGATAGGAGATCAATTCAAGCATCATTCTTGGGGCAGAATCCACAGGATGCCATGATCCAGTGATGCAATCAAGGTGAGAGGGTGGGAAGAGCCAAGGATGGCCCTCATCTCTCAGCTGGGAGATGGGGTGAGTGGCAGCCAATCCACACAATGGTGGGAGACAGTGAGTGAGGTGTGGACCATGTGGAACTGAAATGCCTCCCCTGTTCAAAGTTGGCCCCTTACATGGTCATCAGATGACTCTATGGAGCTCTCATGCTTAGTACTTTTCAGGGACTTTTCTGAAACCCATTACCCAAGCCATTTTATCTACTCCGTAAACCAGCCATGCATTTTCTAGGCATAATTTCTTTTGGAAAAAAAAGAAACAAAAGCTGCCCCCTTGGGTTGCACATTAGTTTCTATTTTTTATAGGAAGAACAAAAATAATGATACTTTTCACATGGCAAGCTACTCTCTGTTCACTAGACGTTAGTCATAATTACTTTTGGCTATTTCTAAAATCCAGCCAAGTGTTGGGGATGTGGTTCTAGGATCCCTGAGGCTGTAGACAAGAATGTGCCTCGGACCCAAGGGATTTCCAAAGAGCCTCTCTGAAGTGACAGCAGTGTGGGTGGATGTAATGTTAGCCCCCCAGGGCCATGTGCCCAGTGACTACACTCAGCCAGATGCCTTTGTTCTGCTATCATGGTTAAGATGCTGGTTGTATTTCTCCATTCCAGAGAGTCTTCCAAGAAAGTAGTCTCTTCCCTCTCTCCTGAGACAGGTGCAAGAGTGCGCCTTTACTGTGTGAGCTCTGTTTTTCAGAAAGCCTGGGACCGAACTAGGTGTTGTGATTTTCCTGTAAGACTGACCTCTAGACCCTGGGCCCAAGTCTCTGCTCATATGGTTCTGGGTGAGAAGAGGGGACAGACCCTGCCAGTCAGTTCAGGTCCCTTTGGGCAAGGTCACTGAACTGACTGGCAAGGTAGCCAGTCCTGAAGAAAACAGAATTGTAGCAGAATAAAAAGCACGCCCACTAGAAGCCAAATTCCCCAAGCAGTGTGCCACAGTTGGTGCAGGGCACTGCTGGGAACACCTATCCAGCAATTCCCAAGACCAAAATGGAAAACGGCACTGAAGCTACATGGAAAATGAGCATCTGGTGACTGAATAATTATCTTAGTCCTCTGGCTGGGGGCCTGTTGCTGCCCCAGTGTGGCCATTTCATAAACCCAGCAAGCAGATTGGGTGTCTACCCAAGCTCAGACTCCTGTGTGATTTGATCTCACTCTAACGACACTCCCTTTTGCACCATAAGAAATGGCTTTTTGGTGCAGCTGCTGATACACTGGCTTGTGCAACAAAATAGGCTGTAACTTTCTGCATCAGGGCCATTCTTGTTAACTTAGTTTCTGTCAACCATGATACACTACAATTACTCCCAGCAGTTAGCAAGGGCATGGAGGCAAGAGAAATGGCTCTTATAGCTGTGGGCTCAGTTCCTCCCCAGGCAGCCCAGCCCTCCCTCTCCTGCAGGCTGGGGCTGAGTGGCATGGCATAGGGAGTGTTTCAGGGGGGCCAGCCAGGATGCAGGAGATGTTATCAGCACCAAGTTGACAGTGCCACTCCCTTGGAGACCATTGTATAAAGCCCTGCAGGATCTTTGTAACTTCAAAGGAGAAAGGAGTGAGTATCAAAGAAGGCCACTACCTCTGAGCTGATGAATGAAGCAGTCGCATTTCTTTCTTTCATTATAAAATTATTACACATTATTACCAAGCATCCTTCCTGCTTCCAGCAATGGATATACGAAAACTGCATTGCCGAGCCATACTGGCTAAACTTCTGCCCCCAGCTTCCCGGCCTGTGGAGTCCACAGCACTCTGGTGTCCACCTGCAGCACCATGGGAAGAGCACTTTAGGAGGCAGCACATGGGATAGGCTGGTCAAAAGCATGCACTTTGAAACCAGACAACTTGCAGCTCCACCTCTTATATCTGGTCTGCAGTGCCTCTGGCATGTACCTTAACATCTTTAGGCTTGCATCCCCTCATATGAAAAGTGGAAATAAGCGCTTAGTTATCTTGTGGAATACTTTGAACATTAACTGAGATAACTTAAAGTACTTGACACAGTAGCTGGAATAGAGTGTGTGCTCTGTAGGTATAAATTGTTAATATGAGCAGCAGTCCATGGCAGGTGGAGAGACCTGGGCTAAGAACAGGGCATGTGTGGGGAGCAACTCGGACTAGACTGTTACTGGAATTAAGACTTATTCTATATATCTGCTCTCCCACAATATGGTGCTGGGAGAGGAGTAAACAGCTTCTACGCAGCTGCCTCTCGCCAACTTGAGTGATGACCTGCAGGAGCTGATCCTGCTCCTGATTGGAGGAGAGCAGCATACTCGGCGTGTGGGTAGCAGAGTTGGGATTGGTGGAAGAGGACTATAAAGGAGGAGAGAGACAACATGCACCAGGAACATCTAAGAGGAACACCTGTGCAGCCCCCGAGAGAGCCGGCCGGCGGTGTGCCGCTCCCCCGCAGAAGTGGGGAAAGTGGCAGGGGGAACCGCCCTTCCACGGAGGTGGAAGGGACGGTAGCCAACCCAGGAAGAACCAGCAGCAAACCCGGGGAGGGCCGAGCAGACAAAAGAACAGCGCAGGGTCCTGTGTCGTTCCTCCACGAAGAAGGGGAGCTACAGGCATGTGTCCTCTTCCCTCCTTCTGTACAAGGCCAGGGGGCAGTCAGGGGAGGGGCAGGCTGTGGTCCAGAGTGGCATCTTTTTGCCAAACTAAGCAGTGGGGCTCCTGGGTTGGCCTTGAAGCCAATGGGAGGGCAGCATATTCAAGACCATGTGTGTCAGCCTGCAGTGCAGAGTCACACATTTAAGTGGCTTCCAGAAGGTGACTGGTATGTTCTTATCATCATCTGTGTCTGTGTTTTCTAAGTGCTGGGTTGGCTACTTTTAAACAACTGGTTTTAAAGGAATTTAAACAACTCATTTTGTTCAGTGGAAATTGTTACTGTGATTTTCTAAGAAGTTAGTATAACTTTGAACTCACCCTCTTTTGCATTCCTGTCTACCTGAGACTTCTTTCTGGTACACCAGATTTCAGCCGCCAGCTCTTCCCTAACAAATGACGCACCCAGAAAGTAGCTGTTACAGTGGAACTCCTCTAAACTGCTGGTTCCAACTAATTTTGCTCCTTTGTGGTCTCACAACTGCCTCTTGGAGCTTCCTGCTTTCATTTGGGTCAGCTACGGTTTTATTTAACTTGTTTTGACATTGCATTTTTATTTTTGCTTTGATATGTTCCCATTTAATCCTGAAACTGCACAACATAGAGCTTTTTGACCTGAATTCCCCTCTGCACTGCCCACTTTGCCCAAGTTGACTGTGTGTTCATAAGTTGTGGGCACCTTTCCAGAATTTGAAAAATTCATTCAGTCTCTTCTTTTCTTGTGCATCTCTTCTGCTTTGCCAGGTCAAGCTGGGAACTGCCTGACTTGAGGGAAGGGAGAGTAAAAGCCATCAGTGACTCAGATGGGGTGAGCTACCCTTGGTACGGGAACACCACAGAAACTGTGACCCTGGTTGGCCCCACCAACAAGATCTCCAGGTTCTCCGTCAGCATGAATGACAACTTCTACCCAAGTGTGACGTGGGCAGTGCCTGTGAGTGACAGCAATGTGCCACTGCTCACACGAATCAAGAGGGACCAAAGTTTCACTACCTGGCTGGTGGCCATGAACACCACCACAAAAGAGAAGATCATTCTGCAGACCATCAAGTGGAGGATGAGGGTGGACATTGAGGTGGACCCTCTTCAGCTTTTGGGGCAACGGGCCCGGCTGGTGGGCAGGACTCAACAGGAACAGCCCCGGATCCTGAGCCGGATGGAACCCATCCCCCCTAATGCACTAGTGAAGCCCAATGCCAACGATGCCCAGGTCCTCATGTGGAGGCCCAAGCGAGGCCCACCTCTGGTTGTGATCCCTCCTAAGTAGAAGCAGACTGGCCTGACTGTGTGTGGAGCACACGCTGCTGAGACATGCAGTGAGGTTGCCAGGAATGGCAGGAGCCAAACTGAGTTTCTGAGCCAAAGCCGACCTCCCGGTTTGCCAGCCTTTGCAGCCACCTGCGAAGAGTAGGGCTGCTCCTTGGGTGGTAGAACCATAATCCTTAGGAAAAGTCCCTTCCTTTTAGGAATAAAGGAATCACTGATTTGACAGACTTGCTGTGATTACCATGCAAGTAGCCATATTTTGGAGCTGACCAAGATGATTCTTTTGTTTGAACTATTGACCATTTCTTTCCTGTGAGATGCAGGGGATGGAAACGAAACTAAACCGTGCCTGTGGCAAATGCTGCTTCCCAACCAATTAGAAGTGGGAGTGAAAACATCCACACCAGGTGTTTGTAAGAGGGTCCCACTGTCCGACTGGAGGGTGCTGGGGAAATGGGTGGCATCAGAAAGGGGTGGTAAAAGAATGGGCGGCAGGGAGAGGGAAGAGTAAGTTGTTACTGCAGGTTGATGCATGTGTGCTTAGCAAACCAAAGAAATTGTGTTTACGGTGTTCCAAGAGGGTGACCTCTGGGAGCTGTCTAAGGTGCTGATGTGAACTGAGGGATGGAGACACTCATGGGTTCCATCTGCTCACATCTTCCCCAAAACATTGTTTATTCAAAGTATTTCAATCAGAGTATTTGGATATGTAGTTTCTGGTTTTCATAGTGGCTATATTTGGGCTGCTCACATGTTTTTAGTGAATCTTAAATTTTAGTTTTTGTTTACAGCTGCTTATTCTGTTCCCATCACCAGCCCTAAGTTTACAAAAGAATTTATAACCCATCAATCCATGTAGAGGTTCAAAAGCATTTCAAAAATTGAAGCAGTATTTTCATTCCACATTTAAAAAAATAATTTCTGAATGACTTGAACATATGGAATGCACACACACACACACACAAATACACACATGCATACATGCCCACAGGCCAGGATACTAGTGGATTTGCCAGCAATGCCTTCATATGTACTTATAGTCTTTGTGCATACACAGTACATACACTGGATGTCTATGTATGTTTATCACAGCTCTGATTTACAGAAGCTCAATTTTAAGAGCTTGAGCGTTTATGAGAAAGATATTCATAAGGCTTAACTTCAGAACTCTCTAATGAAAACCTGAGCTACTCATATTAAGTGGGCCTACACTGCTGACAGCCAACCAATAAAACTGAAAGACCACATTTCCTTTAGTTGGGCCAATATAAAAATTTCTAAAACATTTCCAGTATTTACAATGAACAACTCACCAGGTCTTCTAGCTTAAATATGCCTTAAAAATAGAGTGTGAACTGTTATACATTTTTTTCCTTGTTCAGCCTTTACCCCATGCAAACTAATTATAAATTCTCACAGTGTCACTGGGGCTTCAATGATTAGATGGCACAAGCCTAATTTCAGAGGTGAGAGAATTGAGGCTTAGAGCAGTGATTACTGTCTCATGGTCAGCCCCAAAGACTAATCTTCTACCAGAGTTTGGGATGAATAATAAAAAACAGGGGCTTGTTTATTACTTTGGTTAAAAATGCCACTTAGTTTACTTTCCTTTGGGTTCTAGTCCCACGGCATGGTACTTATTTACATGAATGTGTGAACAGATCCACTCCAAATTTTGTAGAGTTAACCTCACACCCTGACCATCAGCTACCCTCTGATAGACTGGTTATTGACAGCAGGTTATTTATAGCAGTATGCTGATGAAATGCCAGTGATTCACAGAAGACCTGGAGACATTCCATTTAGAGATAGTTCAGCTGTTCCACTCATTGGATTCCTCTGTCCCTTCTCATGCTCCCTTGTTTCTGTGAGGAGGTAGCCGCCAAAGAGCTCCATGGCTGAGGTTTAAAGCTGTCCATTTTCTCAACACAAGAACCACCAGGCTGTCACTCAGGTTGAATCAGATGCTACATTCATGAGATTCTGGGGAATGGTACTGATTCTGTAAGCTAATCCATGTGGCCCCACTGTAAGAGAATCTGATTTTTAAAAAATCCAAAATTATAACAAGTATCAGATTAGTAATGAAGAATTTGTTAAAATCCTGTCCAAGGTTCCCTGTTTTCAAATTTCCCCAGCCCATTAAAATAAGTTATGACATACACAGTCGTATTTACACATAACTTTTCAAGGATATATCTGTCTTTATAAAGCAAAATTCAGCTCACTTCGCTAAATTTATTCCCCCTGAAAAAAATAATCACACTTTTTAGAGTTTAAAAAGAAATTACTCCAGACAGTTTTCTGGGAAATTATATAATGAAAAAGTGAGAATACATGGGAAAGTGCTCTTGAAAGGTAAAAGCACTATGCAAATATATGTCATCATTATTGTCATCAGTAACATTGCAAACACCACAGTTGGCTCTTTCAATTCTGAAGTCAGCCTGGCAGAACGTTCTATTGCCCTGTATCCAATGACTTTAAGATTACCATGGTTTTACAAGGAAATGACCCCTTTTCTGCCTGTGATCTGTAGATCATACTTTTCAACTTAGTCAGCATATTGCCAAACCAAAGGCTCTCTTCCAAGAGAGAATTCACCTTGAAATCTCTGTTAGCATCACCTCCATCTTCCCTTTACTTCCCTAGAGAGAGCCTGGGTCTGATGTTAGATGCCATCAGCTTAAAGGGACTCTGCTGCCTGGATTGGGTTCTAGTTGTGTGGTCTCAGGAGTATATTTGGATTCCACTCACATGTGTACACACACACACACACATACACACACACACACACACAAATGGTTTCTTGGTGGCACGAGTTCTGAATTGATGTTAAATGAAGTCCACTTTGAGATCTGTTAGTCTATGAACTTAAAAATTGAAGCCCAGTTAAATTGGATAATCTGTCTAGATTCACAGCTGTGCTCAGCAACAGGCAGAGAGAGGGTGCTGGCATCTCCCAGCACAGTCACACTTCCCTGTCACCCACCTCTCTCCTTGTGTCCAGCCCAAACATTGTCATCATTCCTAAACCATTCACCCAAAAACTGATGAGCCTAAAAACTACAGGCAAGTGGTTTGTCCTTTAAAGAGGAGAAAATCCTTATTACCATTATGTCAAAACACAAATGTTTCTGAATCCCTTTCAACTTGACAGATGTTTTGAGTTTGAACCCCTAATCTGGGCTCTTTTATATGCATTTCGCATTTCTGAGGCAGTGCCATGGCCCAGAACATGTGGGAAAGTTGGAGGTCAGTCCCATTTCCACCTCCTGGTCCTTGGACCTTTTTTTTTTTTTTTTTTTTTCAGGCAGAGTGGATAGTGAGAGAGAGAGACAGAGAGAAAGGTCTTCCTTTTGCCGTTGGTTCACCCTCCAATGGCCGCCACGGCCGGTGCGCTGCAGCCGGCGCACTGCGCTGATCCGAAGGCAGGAGCCTGGTACTTCTCCTGGTCTCCCATGGGGTGCAGGGCCCAAGCACTTGAGCCATCCTCCACTGCCTTCCCTGGCCACAGCAGAGAGCTGGCCTGGAAGAGGGGCAACCGGGACAGAATCTGGCGCCCCGACCGGGACTAGAACCCGGTGTGCCGGTGCCGCAAGGCAGAGGATTAGCCTAATGAGCCGTGGCACCGGCCGTCCTTGGACCTTTTATGGCTCCCTCTTTGAGTGCTAGGAATGATATCTCGTAGGTCAAAATCATGTTATAAGCAGCAGTTCTGATGATTTATAGAGCGTTTTTCAAAAGGCTCCCACATGCACTTTCTCATCCCCACACAGTCTTACGAGGAGTGCAGCTGTGTTTTTATTATTAATTATCCCCATCTCACAGATAGTAAATTGAGACCAACGAGGTGAACAACCCAAGGCACACGAAGAGAAAACGTCGGGAGCCAGGATTCAGACTGCGCCTTGTGGCTCCTTGTTACAAGCTCTCCCACTGAACAGTGCTGCCTCCCAGCTTGTTCCATGCCTGGAAGCACAAAAGAGATCAGGAAGGAAAGGCAAACACAGGTCACCACACAGTCAGGTAGCCCTCCCCCAGCTACCCCGTGGGTGCATTAAAAATAAGAGAATGAACACTGTTTTCTTAGGCGGAGAACCTTGTAATCCCCAGGGAGGCTGGCCCAGGAAAATGCCTGTCAGGGCCCACAGTGTGGGTGAGCTGGCTGTCACTTGGCAGCTCTTAGCGCAGTGCTGGTAATTAGTGGAGTAGGAAATCTGCTCTCAGAATCCCTTAAACACCCCAAGCACAAAAGGGGAGGAAAGCCTGCATCCTGCAACTGGGGACCCAGCTGAGCAAGGCCATGCTGCCCCGCCATCCCTCACTGTGGCAGGAGTGGAGCCTGTGGAGCGGAGGTGGCAGAAACAATGGCTTGCCGAGCCCTGGCTGGCACAGCGAACATCCTTGTTAGAACGGAGGGCACAATTAAACCTTGCCAGAGCCAGCTCCCAACAGAGTTGCAAAGAAAGATGTAAACATATACACACGCACACATACACAGACCCACCACATTCACACAGTCTTCAAGCTGAAAGGAAAATTAATCAAAAACCCAATGAACGCCTGAACTCTGTAATTAAGCCTAAATGAACCTCAGATTGAAAGGGAGCTGAGTGAGCAAGCTCAGTGCACGCAGATATTTTTACCCCAGAGTCTTATTGCCATTAATTTCTTTTGAGATCTTGAGTACATCTGGTTCCTGCATCCCTAGTAGGATGACTGCCCACAGAAGGCCTCCAAGAGATGCAGAGGCTTGGTGGCCAGAGGACAGCCAAGGTTATGGTCAATTCCAAGCTCTTTTATAGGAAAGCACTTGGGGAGATGGAGTGATATTGCCCCCAGGTCAGCCGTGTACACTCCCATGATGGACCCTGTCACCAGCCTTGTCTTCCTGAACAGTTCCTCTGACGTGATGGCAGGCAAATGGCTTTTACTTTCCTTTGTGTAGAATTTAAAACACCTCTGTTCAAGATGGGAGACATTAGCTTGGGCCTGATCTTTCTGCATTACAATTATTGATAACAACTGCCATTTGGGTGGTATTTTACCACTTATGTAGCACAGACTCATATTTTATCCTCAACAGTCCTGGAAGGTTGGCCCATTTTACGTATGAATAATTCAGAGCAGAGGTCAAGTGGCCAGTCCAAGGTCACAGTAATTTGGTGGTGCTTGAGGTTTTGTCTTCTGACGGCATACATGCCTTTACCCTGTTGTCACAACATCCACTCCCTCCTCTGCTTGTCCATCCTGTGCTCTTCCTCATGCAGGGCTGACCAGGAAAGAGAGTCTGTGCAAGGCTGCAGACTTAGCCCTGAATGCACATTGACAGAGTGAGCCCTGCTGGTGAGTCTTGGTTCAGGTGGGTTCAGAGTCTGTGCCTTCAGCTGGCTTCTCTCCTATTCCACCTGAGACTAGACAGGAAGGACACTTGGGTGCTCAGAGGTAGGAGGTCAGAGCCTGGGACCTCAGCATGACTTGAGATTCTCTGGGTGCAACTTGCAAGCTGCACTGACTGGAGGAAATGGCTTAACATTTCTGGCCATCAGTTTCCTCCTCTGTCCACGGAGACCTTAACATAACCCAGCCAACATGACAATAGTCAGGAAGGCCCATGGGGATGATGTCTGACAACGCTCGAGAATGTCTAAAGTGTCACCTGACAGTACTCTGCCCTCAGCAGATTCCCACCTACTTGGAAGCCCAAAAACTGTCAGAGAAGCCCACCCTTCCTGCCAGGTGGGGCCTGGCCTCTGTGGAGAGGAGTGGGCTCTGAGTACCCTCCCCACGCCCACCCCCAGGCACCCTGCGGCCAGGCAGAGAAAGGAGACCATTGCATAGTCCTGCAAGAAGAAACTCTGGGAAGAATTTGTAGCTACAATTCAGAAAGGCCTTCTGGAAAGGGGAGGAGGCTGACTGTCAGGCCTAGGGAATCTCAGCCATGATCTGCCTCATTTAAGCAGGCCAGCCAGGAACAGCAACCTTTTCCTTTTCATGGGCTCAGGCAAGAGAAACAGATCAAAACAAAACAAAAGACACATGCTCAAACTTCGCCATAAGCCTCTACTGGTCCATCTGTCCCCTCACAGTTTCTGGCATCCCAGATCTTCCTGGGACCCCCACAATGTGAAGGTGGCATTGTAGATTTGGTCATGCAGGTGCTGGTATCCTGCACCTCCCAGGTTGTCACACCTTCTGGAGGCTTGTTTGGTTACAGCCCCTCTTTATGTACCTGCCCTGTTTTCCATGGTCCTACATGGATCCGTCAATCAATTTGCCTCCGAGATGCTTTGCAGGATCCCCCTGGCTCTGTGCCCCCAAACTGTGCCTTTCTCCCAGTGGAGCCTGGGTGTGGGCTCTAAGAGAACTCAACCAATTCCAATCGCCAGCACAAATGGGGAGCCATTTAGCCTAGCACAGGCTTCTTTCCTTAGCTAACCCATAAAAAGTGGGTTGATCCCTAAAGAAGCTGAGTGCTGGGTCAGAAATGCCCAGGAGAGGGAAAATGGACATTAGAATGACAGCAGAGAGGGGAGAGCACCGAGACACAGAGCAGGACCCAGTGCCACACAGAGCTCACTGGGGATTGAGAGGAGCACGGGCAGTGCTGTGAAGTGTTTGAATTGTGAGACGGTTGAGTTGGGGCCTGGTGTTGGGTTGGTGGAGAGCCAGCATTCTTGAGGGCACAGAGGAGACAGGAAGGCAGATGGGAGGCTTTGCTTCATCCAGGTCTGGGCCAGACCTCACACTCAGGTTTGCACACACTGGCCATGCACTCCCATACTCCTGTGAAAACGCGCCTCCCCAGTTGTTGGCCAGCTCTCTGGCTGTGTCCCTGGTGCCTGCTTCATGCACGTTGTTGACTCATGGCTTTCTTTACAAGACAAGCTTCTGCAGGGAGCGTATTGTGAGATCCTTCTGAACACCGGTTCTTTCAACAAGTGCTCATACTGAATGTGTCCTGCGTGCCTAGCTACACATAGTCCCAACCCGCAGAGACATGATGCTCATAAGGGAGCCACTCATGGCCCTCCTGCCAGCCCGCCCCAGGATCACACCAGGAAGGGAAACCCAGAACTTTGGACAGTGATCCCTGAGTTCTCTGTCTCTCTGTCTCTCTCTCTCTCCAGTGCATCAGCCAGTCTGCCTGTTGGGAGGCTGGCCCAGGCCTCTTCTGGCTCTGGGCTCTGTGAGGATGGGAAAGGTGACAGGGCTGCCATTGAGTACTTTGAGCTCTTCCAAGGAAAGGCCCTAGGGAAACCCTGCCGCCACAGCAGTGCGCTCACAGGCCCTGGGGATGAAAGAAACAGCTGGCTATCTCTCCATCTGCCCTCTTCCCTTCACCCCATGCTTCAAGCCAATTAGAATATTCCACACAGACGGGATCCAATGAAATGTTAATTGGAAAAATAACAGGAAAGATAATACATGCACTTCAGGCTGAGAACTATTTCATTAAACTGGGCTCTGAAAACAAGACAGCCAATTAAATTACTTCCCACTTCACTCCCTCATGTTCCAGAGACTATGGAAAACCATTACTTCTAATTAATTAGGAAAAAAAGAAAGGACTCTGCACATGCATATCAGATGGACAGAGATGGAGAGGCCACCCCAACTTACTCTGTGCGCACCTGCATTCACACACACACACACACACACACACACACACAGCAGGACGCTAAAGACTCATTTGCCTCACCTAAAGAATTTCATGGATCTTTTGGAATAGCAGGAAAACAACCTGCACCAGCAAACTGCTCACACAATCAAAGGGACATGCCTTTTGGGGACATTTGTTGCCGAAGAATAAACAGCTTTAAACTCAGTTGGATTCCAAACCGTCTGCAGCCCAAACAAGGTTTTGTCTTTTCCTCTTCAGTACAGAAGTGGGCATTTCCAAGTCCATGCTCTGTGTCAGATGCCATGTCCATTGGCACACGGTGGCCCTGAGAGTGACTCTGAATTTCTTACAAAGGTTTCACGTAAGCCGCTTTTGGGACCCTCACTTTTCCATCAGTGAAATCTGAAGGAAGCCTCTTCCCAGGGTCGTGTTCATCCCCTCCAAGGTGTTTCAGCCTCTGAGAACACATTAGCAGAGAGCTCTGAGCTCCTTGTGCCTTGCCTTGGAGGAAAGACAAAATTCACCCATGCCACTCAAGTACTTCTGTACAGAGAGTATGCTAACACAGACACCTGTGTAATATAACAGACATAAGAGGATTAATATAATAAAATGATACAGTCGTGAATATCATCATCATATAAAGCAGTTGTCATGATGAGGTCAGTTTAGCACTGATGTCACCTTGATATCTCTCCAGGATGACCCTAAGCAGCAGTCAGACGCAGGTTGTCTCAGGGCCTCTGCACACTCACACTCACAACCTCCCCACTCCCACCCCTGCTCCTGCTATCTCTGTGCCACACAAGGTATCAAGGGCTGGCCGAGCCTAGCGCATCCTGTGCCTCTGACCAGTTGCAGCCAGTCTCATTGCAGAAAGGGGAACTGACATTGACTGATGGCAGAGAGCACAGAGTGAACAGTTTCTAGAATGTTCTAGACTATTAAGTTCTGGTTAGTAGAATGATGCTGTCAGCTACCTTCACAATTGGAGCAAGTTACTTGACCACTTAAATAAGCAATTTGAGATGTATTTTCTTTCTAAAACTGAAACCCTGCATAAGACCTGAAAAAGCAACAGTGTTAATTTGTAATTATAAAAAAAGCTTGTGTCATGATAGCAATACATCTCTGTAAGCAAACTCAGTCCATCAAAATCCAAGGATACCAAATAGAAAAATGATCAGGCACGAAAGCAGAGAATGCCCAGTGCTTAGCTTCACATCATGCTAACTCCCTTCTTGCATTCAAAACTACATTTTAAGTTACTTTTTTAAAAAAGATTTTATGTATTTATTTGAAAGGTACAGTTAGACTTAGACAGAGGGAGAGGGAGAGAGAGAGGTCTTCTATCCACTGGTTCACTCCTCAGATGGCCGCAATGGCCAGAGCTGAACCAATCCGAAGCCAGGAGCCAGGAGCTTCTTCTGGGTGATCCATGCAGGTGCAGGGGCCCAAGCACTTGGGCCATCTCCCACTGCTTTCCCAGGTCATAAGCAGAGAGCTGGTTTGGAAGTAGAGCAGCTGGGACACAAACCAATGCCTATATGGGATGCCAACACTGCAGGCAAAGGCTTAGCTAACCACAGCATCATCCCTTTAAATTACTTTTGAAATTCAGTTCACTGACTTCTTATTTAGGAGCAAAAGTAGAACATAAAGCAATATATGCAAGTACTCACAAAAAATAGTGGCAACAATTTTTATTTTTTAAAGATTTATTTTATTTCTTTGAAAGAGTTACAGACAGACATAGAAACAGAGAGGTCTTCCATCCACTGGTTCCCTCCCCAGATGGCTGCAATGGCCTGAACTACGCCAGGAGCCTCTTCCGGGTCCCCCATGTGGGTACAGGACCCAGGGAAGGTCTACTGCCTTCCCAGGCCATAGCAGAGAGCTGAATTGGAAGAGGTGCAGTGGGGACTAGAACCGGCACCCATATGGGATGCCGGAGCTTCAGGCCAGGGCTTTAACCCACTGTGCCAGGGTGCTGGCCCCAACAAGTTTTATTTTTTAAAAAAATTGATTGTCAGCATTGAGTGGAATACTTAGATGCATATTCAAGAATAAATTTTAACATAATTGGAGTGTTAGCTGTAGAGTTCTGGTCAGTCAGCAATTTGTGAAAATCTCTTTCTACATTCATATAGATGCTAAGGAATAATGCTATGGGAGCCTGCTATTTCTACCCATTTCTCTAGATCTTTCTGTGCCTTGCTAATGGGTTATGAATATAGTTGACTCAGAATTCCTCACTATCACTTTCTTTAACCTTTTTCTGGAACTGTATGAAAGTTATAGACCCTGACTATAGAGAAATGCGTATGAAAATGAGTATCCAAAATTCTTTAAAAAATTTCAGAGTCATCTTCCCCTGGACATCTAGTTATGGAGCCCTTATTTTGAGCATCTGCTTCTTAAGGAATGGCATGTCTTTGGTCATTGTTTCAATGTCCACTCTATTTACATGTTTCCATGTCCACATACAGGTGTCCTGGTAGGACAAGGCAAGTCCAGCAAGCAGAACCACACGGCAGAGACTGAGGAGAAGGAAATGAGCAATGGCTGGTGGCTCCAGTAGCTGAAGGCCTGGACAGCTGGTTTTCCATTAAAACGAGTGCCATCCTGCCTGTCTCCTCACCACCCTCCCTTCCACGAGCAGATCCCTCCTCTCCCCACTGTGTGCCACGTGGCACTCGCCATGGATGGGCCGACTGGGCTGGCTGGTTGGCTCATAGGGAGCTGGGTTGAAGTGGGAGTTGTGCCTGCTGTAGCATTTTGTGTATGGAGAGATTGGGTTCATCCAGATCTCAAGTCCATCCCCGACCCTCCAAATAGATGAAGAGCTGGCCAGTCTGAACTTCAAATACTCAAACCCTGCCTTCCCTCCCTATACACTTTTGGGTGTAGAACTGAAGGCATATCTATGTCCCCTCCTCCTCTCTTCTCCACATGGGTGGCCCGTGTCACTCTTGAGATTCCGTGAAGATCTCCAATCCTTGGAGAGCCAAGGCCAAAGTCACCTCTTGTTTCCCTACCATGGCCAGGCTGGGTGCTTTCTGGTGACCAAGGGCAAAACATATGTCACCAGGAGAAGTGGGGTGAGGGAAGAACCACCCTGAGGGCAAAAATGGGATGTGTTCTTTTATTTATTGGTTATTTATTGTCTTGCTTATGGATTTATTTATTTATGAACTATGTATTTATTATAGAGTAGAAAACCCACCTCTGTCTTTGAAGCATCAGCCCCAGAATTTGTCTTGTTGAGAGCACAGCGAATGATTCTTCTCTGAAGTCACAGAAAAGAGGGGGAAAAACTCTCCCCGTGCCCAACACCTCCACCCCAGCCAGGTCTTCAACTTGAAGTGGGATAAGTAACCACCAGCTAGTGAGGACGTAAACCCGCACCAACAGCAGAGGCCTCCTGACTGGTCAGAGTGCTCGGCATCCTCCCCAGCCTGCCCTTGCCCTGGTCTTCAAGTCCGGGGGTGCTCCCAGCTCTCCTTTGTGTACTGGGCTGGGGACTGGCCAGCAGCTCCAGCCTGACCATTCAGAACTCAACTTATTCTGCTGTGGTACAGTATTCCTAATACCAGATGTACATGGGGATCATCTGAGGGGCCTAAAAAACATACGCATGCCTGGTCCCCTCCCCTGATCCATTACAGCACAGTCTGTAAGGGTGGAGCCTGGGCACTGGTGTTTTTGAAGTTGCTCAGATGATTCTGACGTGAAAATCAGGTTGAGAAGAACCTTAGTGACTGTCCTCTCTGTCTTCCCTCTCCACCTCCCAGCTCTTCCTCCTTGGGTTCCCAAACTTCCTCTGGAGTCCTCTTCCCATTCCTCAGCCCTTCCTTCCTCACTACACCTTCCATGGGCTCAACCAACCTGGGCAGATCCCTGCAAAGGGGCCGGGTCCCAAGAGGCTGCTGTGTACCCTAAGGCTGCTGTCTACACACAACCTGGGGGCTACTCCTAGACAATATGCTGCTTTTCTAGGAGCAGAAACCCACCCCCTGCAGCCTCCCTTTCCCCCTGCATATCCCCTGCACCTCCCCCAGCTCCTAAATTCCAAACATTTATAGGCCACTTTGGTGACATTCCTGTCTCCAAGTCCCAAGCTTGATAGATAGTAAGGCCCTGTAACCCAAGGTGTGACTATGTCTGCAGAGCCACCTGAATTAACTAAGTGCTGCTGATGATGGAGGAAGGGGTCATTTTGTCCCCAAGCCAAGCCTTCCCCCAGCAACCTGGCCACTGTGCATCCAAGTCCTGGATGACCAGGATGGATGCCTCCCCCTTCACATGGGTGGGATCTCTGTGCCTGAGTGTGTGTGTGTGTGTGTGTGTGTGTGCATTCACTGTCAGCATACAAGCCATCTGGATCTGCAGGGATGCCAGATTTTACTTTACACATCATTCCATTTTACATGAAAACGACAGAGGACTCTCACTGTCTGTCAGTGGACTTCCACTGCGCCGCACTCCTGAGCCCCAGTGAATTCCGTGTGAGGCGGATATGCAGAATGTGGTAGTGTATGTGGCCTGGGGAGCCCTGTGATGGGGGGAGAGCTCGTTCTGCTTGCCCATCTCCTTCCTCTAAGCAAGTTCCTGAGCCACCTGTGACCACACACACGCACACACACACACATACCACTCGGCTGCCACCCATTCCCCCTGCAGCGTTGCACATGGCCAGGCCCCCTTTTCTCCATGCATCTACGCGTCCCTGCCCCATGTCCCATCTCTCAGGGTCCTACTCTCTGATAGGTGACAGATCAGTCAGTGGGTGCTAAAGAGTAGAGTGTTCCTCCTTCCTGGGTGTCATTGACATTTCCACAGGGGCTATAGATAATGCCTTAATTGGAAGGACTGGCTGAGAGGTGGGAATTTCAGGCACAGAAGTGGGCCAGTCAGGGAGATCATTTTTTTTTAACAGGAGGGCATTTTGGAGCCCCGCCCTCAATCATGCCTCTCTCTCAGATCAGCCCTTCAGAAGTGCATGAGCACAAGCACACTTCGTGTGCAAATCCCATCATTCTGAGACACCGCCTTCACATTGGCTCTGTCTTTAAAAGTAGAAAAGAAAAAAAAAAAACATTAAATTAATTTAAACCTCTTTGGGAATGTAGCCTATTTTTCCACCAGCCACCAGCCACCTGGCCCACCCCAGCCCTGTCCCATTTCCCTTTGCCATCTTCTCTTTTCTGCTCGTCCCGTGCCAGTTACTTTACTTGTACGTGTCCTCTCTGCTCCCCCTCCCCGCTCCCAAGGTACGCCCTTCCTTTGCTGTTTTTCCCTGGGAGTTGTGCTGTTTTTCCATGTCGTCAAGGGCAGAAGAGCAGACTGGGAGCATGAGCATGTGTGCATCACTCTGAAGAAAGAGAAACCAGGTATTCTGCTGCAGTTTGGAGAAAAACCCAACAAAGGAAGAGACGAAAGCTGGCTCTGCAGAGTGCCTTAAAAATGACTTTAATTAGGAAATTCTGAGTCGTCAGTCTTTGGATGTTACATAAACTCGAACAGATGTTGCATTTTACTTCTCTGGGATTAAAAAAGTTAAATACAGTATGTATTCGACAACGAGAGATGTTTTCTTTTTAATTTGGTCCTGAATGATGCAGTGCGTGGTTGGTTGATTGGTTTTTGTAAGACAGGAGATTTTTTTTTTTAAGATGTGTTTATTTATGTGAAAGGAAGAGCTACAAGGAGGGAGGGAGGGAGGGAAGGAGGAAGATGGAGAGAGAGAGAGAGAGAGAGAGAGAGAGAATGAATCTTCTATATTCTGGTTCACTCCCCAAATGGCCAGAACAGCTAGGTCTGGGGCAGGATGAAGTCAGGAGCTGAGAACCCCATCCAGGTCTCCCTCCATCCAGTCTCCTGTGTGGGTGGCAGGGCCCAAGTACTTGGACTGTCTTCCACTGCCTTCCCAGGCAAGGGGAAGCAGAAAAACCAGGACTCAAACCGGCGCTCCGGTATGGGATGCAGGCATCACAAGGGGAAGCTGAACCTGCTGTACCACACACTGGACACCAGTGCCTGGTTTTCCACAAAACCTGAGGACGGCTCTAGGAGCAGGCAAGCTCTGGAACACACAGGGGGCAGATGCATGAATCCCATCCAGCTAGGAGAGGTCTGGAAGGTCAGGCAGGATGCAGCAGTCAATGTGATACAGAATGCAAGTCTAAGATGAGAGACAAGCATAGTGAAAAGAAACGGATCCAGGGTTTCTCCCCAGAGAATTGCTGTCTGATTTAGTGCTCTGGGACTATTGCAACAGAACATTGTGTGGCCTACACACAAAGGAAATTTATGTCTCCCAGTTCTGGAGGCTGAAAGTTCGAAATCAACGTGTCAGCACAGTCGTGGTCTGGTATGGGCCTGCTTGCTGGTTCATGGACAGCTTTTTCACTGTGCCCCGCTGTGGTGGAAGGACAGATAATCCCATTCTTAAGGGATCCAGTCTCATGAGCAAATCCCCTCCCAAAACTCCCAGTTCCCAGTAGCCTCACCTTGAGGGTCAGGATTTCAACACATGAAATTTGGTGGCAACACAAACAGTACACCATAGCACCACCCTAGTCTGTGACTTGGTATCGTGAAAGTGGGAGAAGAAGAACATTCTAGAAATGTAGAAGAGAAACCTTGCCTTTCATCCCTTCCACACAACCCTTCCTTTTTTTTTTTTTTTTTTTGACAGGCAGAGTGGACAGTGAGAGAGAGAGACAGAGAGAAAGGTCTTCCTTTTGTCGTTGGTTCACCCTCCAATGGCCGCCGCGGCCGGCGCACCGCGCTGATCCAATGGCAGGAGCCAGGAGCCAAGTGCTTTTCCTGGTCTCCCATGGGGTGCAGGGCCCAAGCACCTGGGCCATCCTCCACTGCACTCCCTGGCCACAGCAGAGGGCTGGCCTGGAAGAGGGGCAACTGGGACAGAATCCAGCGCCCCGACTGGGACTAGAATCTGGTGTGCCGGCGCCGCTAGGCGGAGGATTAGCCTAGTGAGCCGCGGCGCCGGCCCACAACCCTTCCTTTCTTAGATGTCCTTAACCAGTGTCTGCTTTGCTTTTGCTAAATGATTTTCCTGTAGCTTAGCATTTGCAGTCTAAGATCTGACCACATGAGGCGAATTTTGGAAGTCTGAGTTCCTGAAGGCAGTTAAATTTCTTGGATGTCACCTTCTCTCCCTGGGAGATACGTCTTTAAGTGATCAGACCTCATCTAAGCTGGAGTGGGATTGTTGGGTTGGGAGGGAGGGAGATCTTGACACCTATTCAGATTCTTGGAAGTTCCTGAAGGTGGGAAGAAAGTGAGAGTTCCTGGCTCTGTTGGCCTCAGCCTATCAGAACCCTCTTCTCCCTCTCCCACCTCCTGCACCTGCTTCTTCCTGGCTAGTTTGGAAGCCAGTGCCTAGCTGGTAAGTGCTTGGTGTCATCCAGATAACAGCTTCTCTCTCTCTCTCTCTCTCTCTCTCCCCCCCCCCTCTATTGGTCCTTTTATTGAAATCTGCCATTGCTGTTTTTCACCAGTTGAGAGAGCAAGGGGTAGATGTCCTGGTGCCATGGGTTGATCTCCTGTTTGAGTCACCTGCATTCCATATCAGAGCACTGGGTTGAGGCTGGCTGTTTTACTTCTACTCTAACTTCCTGCTAATCCATCCTGGGAAGCAGTGGATGATGCCTCAAGTGCTTGGGCCCCTGCCATTCAAATGGAAGACCCGGATGGAGTTCCAGGGTCCTGGCTTTAACTGGCACAGCCTTGGCTATTGGGGGCACTTGAGGGATGAACCAGCGAATAAAAGATTCTCTCTCTCTCTCTCTCTCTCTCTCTCTATATATATATATATATATACACATCTGTGTGTGTGTATATATATGTGTGTGTATATATATATATACACGTGTGTGTGTGTGTGTATACATATATTCAAGTAAATGAAAAAAAATAGTAAGAAGGCAACCCAGGTACTGAACTATGGGATGATAAATTATCTCACTTCCAGAAAAAGGCATTTGAAACAAGAACCACCTCATGCACATAATGGTAGGAGCAGATGCACCTTGAAACACAACACCCTACCACCACTGAGCCCGTCGAGCAGCACGGGCCTAACCGTTGGAAGCAGCTTGAGAGGCGCATTTCCTTTCTCTCCTGGAAAGCAGGGTCTGGCCGTGCAAGGACACTCGGCACTTTTTCCCAGTTCATTCATTTTAGGAAACAGCGAGCTGGCAATTTCACGCTGCAGGCCGTGTGTGTAAAGACAGCTCAAATGTCTGAATGAGGATTGGTGGAACATAGTGACAGCTGAGGCAAACAGAAATTATAAGTGACATATCTTTCTCACTTAAAAAACTGTAGAGTTCCGTGTTAAACTGTAATGATTTGGAAAATGGAACATGTGTTTGACTTTTAAGAAACCAAACCGCCATATATGTTAAAAAGACACTGGGTGAGCAAAGACTGGGTAAGCAAACAAAGCTATTTATTTATTGTTAGCTGCACTAAGAAATGCAATAGCCCATGCAGGCAACTTGGGCTGCAAGCACAGTCACATTGTTTGTTTTTTCAAGTTGGTTACTTGAACCCTCTTGCATCCTGTTAGCAGGAAGCACACTAACCCCTTCCTAAGGTTTCCTGAGTGCACTGCCCCTAATTTCTCAAAACCCTGAGTCTTCTACTAAGGGTCAAGACATCAAGCAGAAAGGACAGATTTTTTTAAAAGATTTATTTTATTTGAAAGACAGAATTACAGAGAGAGGTAGAAACAGAGAGAGAGGTCTTCCATCTACTGGTTCACTCCCCAGATGGCTGCAATGGCCGGAGCTGAGCCAATCCGAAGCCAGGAGCCAGGAGCTTCTTCTGGATCTCCCACGTGGGTGCAGGGGCCCAAGCACTTGGACCACCTTCTACTGCTTTCCCAGGCCACAACAGAAAGCTGGATTGGAAAAGGCGCAGCTGGGATTAGAACCGGCACCCATACGGGATGCCAGCGCTTCAGGCCAGGGCTTTAACCCACTGCACCACAGAGCCAGCCCCAGAAAAGACAGAATACTAACTGCTCCTGCCTTCACTGGCTGCTGCCTGAAGGGAGATGGCAGCCACATGCTGCTAGGATGCCCAAGACACAAGCTGTCACCTTGCTACACAACTCTAGACCTGATGCTGTGCCCAATCACTGTTCTCAAAGCACAATGATGCCAAGGGGCCTGCAACCTCAATGTACTCAGTCCAACAGCCTAAATGCCACCCCCCAAAATCAGTGTCCTCACCACTTTTCCTGGGCTTGGAGCCCAGGCCTACACCTCTTCCAGGGCCTAATGGCTATCCCAACTTCAAAGCATGGGGAACAGGAGTCAGACTATCATTCCTTGCCTTGTAGAAAGTCCCAGGCTGCCTTTGCAAATCCCTCGATGCCTTGCATGCTCCACATCCCTTCTCCCTGCTAACTAAAGGAGACCACTGGTGTGATCTGCAAAGCTAGTGCATTCCTTATTGCAGCAGACACCATGTGCCCAACTATTGTAGATGCTAGGAATCCCCAGGCAAACCAAAGAGACACAAATCCAACCCTCATGGAACTTCCATTATATTGAGAGGAGAGCTAAATGACATAGTAAGTAAGGAAATTGCATATCATAGGCAGTAGAAGGTACTAGGGGAAGGGAAGAAAAGAACAGGCAGGGGAAACCAACAGAGCTGGAGAGCTGCTTCCAGGTGATTTTATGTCTAGACACCAACTAGAAGCAGCTGTCAATTACATTTATTACTAAAGCTAATGTAATCACTTTGGCCTCTTACACACACTCTAATATCTGTGTTAATGAGCATCATCTCCTGCTGAAGCCTTCAGATCTAAACCTTATCTATTCCAAAGAAAAATCAATTATATTGTCTTATGGCAACCACCAAAGACTCCTTTTGTATGGCTGTGAACTATGAGGTGACTTTCCCAAGGCGACATGGCTGTGGGGTGCCACAACGAGGATCCCAACATGACTCTTCTGAATCCAACATACAACTTTTTTTTTTTTTTTGGACAGGCAGAGTTAGACAGTGAGAGAGAGAGAAACAGAGAGAAAGGTCTTCCTTCTGTTGGTTCACCCCCATAAATGGACACTACGGCAGGTGCACTGCACCGATCCAAAGTCAGAAGCCAGGTGCTTCCTCTTGGTCTCCCATGTGGGTGCAGGGCCCAAGCACTTGGGCCATCCTCCACGGCACTCCCAGGCCATAGCAGAGAGCTGGACTGGAAGAGGAGCAACCAGGACAGAATCCAGCACCCCAACCGGGACTAGAACCCAGGGTGCTGGTGTCGCAGGCAGAGGATTAGCCTAGTGGGCCTCGGAGGCCAGCCACATATAGCTTTCTTAATGCACCTGTAGAGACCATAGGACATGAAGCTGGGAGATTTAAAACTGAGGTCCAGCATTGCCTCTTACTAAGTGCAAGAAGCTTGGCAAGTTGCCTGCAAACATAAGATAAGACCACATGAGAAATTACATTATACATCATAAGACTCAGTGAAAAACGGAGGCTTTGGGGTAACTGCAGGCTGTCTCAAAGCCTCGCTTATCTAATATGATTCATTA